GGTGGTGGTGGTGGTGGTGGTGGTGGTGGTGGTGGTGGTGGTGCACGCCTTTAATCCCAGCACTCGGGAGGCAGAGCCAGGTGAATCTCTGTGAGTTCAAGGCCAGCCTGGTCTACACAGAGAGATCCAGGACAGGCACCAAAACTATACAGAGAAACCCTGTCTCCAAAAAAAACAAAAAACAAAAAACAAACAAAAAAAGAGCTAGCTGAGACAAGCCTAAACTAAAGGCCAAGCTTTCACATAGCTAATAAGTCTCCATGTCACTATTTGTAAGCTTGCTACAAAGGGGGAAATCTCATGGAGCCCCAACCCTAGGAAAAGAACTATAACCAGCTGGGCAGTAGTGATACAGAGGCAGGCAGATCTGAGTCTGAGGCCAGCCTGGTCTACAAAGTGAGTTCCAGGACAGCAGGGCTGTTACACAGAGAAACCCTGTCTCAAAAAATAACAACAGGCCAGGCAATGGTGGCGCACACCTTTAATCCCAGCACTTGGAAGGCAGAGGCAAGCGGATCTCTGTGAGTTCCAGACCAGCCTGGTCTACAAAGTGAGTTCCAGAACAGCTAGGACTGTTACACAGAGAAACCCTATTTCAAAAAATAAAAAAAAAAATCTACTTTCAAAGAGCAAGAGGTGGATAAATGTAAGATGGTTTGGAGGGAGGAGAGGTAAGGGGAAAATAGTGAATTATAATCTCAAAAAATTAAAAATATACTTTCAAAGTGAGATTTTTCTTGGTCATCCTGCTACAATTCCAATCCCTTATAATTTGGCCCACATCACTCTTCCATATGAGCACCACCCAATTCTACATACTCCTGGTCTCCTGTAGAGAATGTCAGCTACCTCAAGATAGCATTTTTTGGGTCCATTTTTCTAGTCTCTGACATTCAAGGAATTTACAAATTAGTTTATAGAAAGAACAAGTAAGGTGGAACACCTTTAATCCCAGCACTCAGAAGGCAGAGGCAGGCAGACCTGTGAATTCAAGGCCTGCATGGTCTACATTGTGAATTCTAGGACACCTAGGGTTTTGTAGAGAGACCCTGCTGTGAGAGAGAGAGAGAGACAGACAGAGACAGACAGACAGACAGAAACAATTACAGGAACAACCATAAGCCATACTGCTATATTACAATGGTGGAGAAAGGCAGAATTTTCAAGGACCCCAGGGATCACAGGGTAGACTATAAAAGGCTATCCAGCATTATATCAGGAGAAAAACTGCCCCATCATACCCTAAAAAAAAAACTGCATGTTTTTATCAGTACTAACACAGGTCTTCAAACACAAATGTCTTCTCGAGCTTGATCTCTCGGCAGCATTCAATACCCACTTGAGGTCCCATATGTTGAGAGATATTTTGATAGCACTCTAACACTCCTGAGGCTGCCCAATAGAGTTATACCTTGAATCAGAGGGCAGAACCAGTGACTAGCTGAACAGAATTAGCTATAGAGAAGCCAGCAATTTGGATAGAGAAGACACACAGGAGACTGGAGTTTGTGTTTCCTCTTGGTTCTGGGAGAGGGTCTATAGCAGGCTATTAGGCCAAAAAGCAAGATCAGCCGGGCGGTGGTGGCGCACGCCTTTAATCCCAGCACTCGGGAGGGAGAGGCAGGTGGATCTCTGTGAGTTCAAGGCCAGCCTGGTCTACAGATCGAGATACAGGAAAGGCGCAAAGCTACACAGAGAAACCCTGTCTCGAAAAAACAAAAAACAAAAAAACAAAACAAACAAAAAAAAAGGCCAGATCAGCTAGCTGCTACCTAGCCTCTCTGAGCTGACAGGTTTTACCCTGCCCTTTGACTCCTGAGTTTTATTGATAAATAGAATGAAAGAGACTTAATTTAAACCTAAATATCATAGCTGCAGCAGAGCCAGGTCACCACCTGAGTAGCCAGGTATGGGGCGCTGAGGGGCTGTGAGGCCACAGACAATAATCAATATAACAGTAGATTCATGTGCAGCCAATAAGCCGACAGAAAAACATCACATATGTGCAGTTATATACTTAATCTGGACCATTTTACACATTAAAGGTAATACAACTGACTATTATTATTATTATTATTTTGGTTTTTCGAGACAGGGTTTCTCTGTGTAGCTTTGCACCTTTCCTGGGACTCACTTGGTAGCCCAGGCTAGCCTCGAACTCACAGAGATCCGCCTGGCTCTGCCTCCTGAGTGCTGGGATTAAAGGCGTGCGCCACCACCGCCCAGCACAACTGACTATTATTAAATTGCGTTTTCCATCTTAATTTAAACATTTCTTATCAAGAGCTTTAGGTATCTAGAAAATATCTGAAAAGAAAGTAGAGTTGAGGTGGTCCTGGTCTTTAATCCCAGCACTGGGGAGGCACAAGCAGGCAGATTTCTGTGAGTTTGGGGCCAGCATGGTCTACATATGAGTTCCAAGACTACATGGTGAGGCACTGACTTTAAAAAAAAGGGGGGTTAATTAAATAATTTTACGTGTTATTCACTCCATACCTCCAGCAAGCATTGCGGCAGTTTCAGTATTTCATTCTAATATTCTAATATATATATATTAACTTCACAAATTTACACCTGGCTCATGTTTCTTGGGGAGTCAAGGTCCCTGCTTCCTCCAGCCTTTTAAGACACTGAAGAGACAGATGCCACAAACTACTGAAATGTGGAGGCATCACTCCCAAAAGCCAACTGCATCTTTGGTGTAGCTGTTAGTAGAGGAAAAACATCAAGAGCACTGCCATTCAAGACAGGTACACTTAAACCAGGTGGCAGGATTCCTTCACAAAGGAGTGGATTTTTGAAGGCAAAGCAGTTCTTTAAAAAATTAATTAAAAAAAAATGAAAACGCTAATGCTGCTGGGGGGAGGGGGATGAAAGAGAGAATCTTTGGTGTGTGTGTGTGTGGTATTTTTAGGTCTATTAGCAAACGATGTATTTGGTAGATTTACATCTCCAAGACAGCTTGACAGGAAAAACAAAGACCTGTACTCTCTCTCTCTCTGGAGCTTCGGAAGCAAGAGCCAGTTAAAAAACAACACCCACACTTAAGCCGGTATCATCAGGACGCCAAGAAGTCAAAGTAGGATGTGACCGCATCACTGTCTCCAGCGGCAGAAACAGAAGCGTGGGTCACCTACACGGGCTACGGAACTTTAAAGACAAAAGATGTGCATCTTGTGGATGCTGGAACATCAGCCTCCAACTTGACAGAAGTTCAAGAGCTCGGCTCCTTCACTAGGGCAGGCTGACGGCCTAGCTCCGCGGCGCACGGGTCCGCCCCGGGCACCACTGTGCCCGCGCCCCGATCGTCCCCCAGGCTCGCTGCCCTCCCGCCCAGAGCCGGGAGCCCACAGGCTGGGGCGCTCCCCGAGGGC